TGGTATTTTGCTAGCTGGAGTTAAACCATGACAGCTTCCCGGATCCATCTCACCGGCCTCTAGGCAATCGATGGGCTGGTGCGCACATCTGATTTCACAGCCTAGACTTTGTTCCCAAGCAGTCGAGAGGAACAAGCACTTCTGAGGCAAGATTGAGCTCACAAGGAGAGGAACTGTGCTGCTGAAGCACCCATTTCTCTCCCTGGGCTATGCAAGGCACCGCACAACCCGTGTGGACAGAGACAACCACGCCGCCAAGGTCTAAAACCCAGGGGGAATGCCTCTCGTCCCCACGGTGGAAATGCTTGGTGCCGTACGCAAAAGCAGTATTTCGAGTTTTTCTGCTTATAATTGCATCTTTGGTGTTTACCAACTCCAGCAGTTACTTCAGAGGTTGGATTGTAGGCAGTTTACTCAAAAATCATTGAAATAAGATGGAGCCGATTTTACCTTTAGGTAGGCTCAGAACGTTTCGATTTCCTAACTCACTTTAGAGACCTATTAAGTACTTCTTTGCTCTGTTATCCTTCAGGACAGTCTTGGAACTAGGAAGTGGGATTGGCTTCACTGGAATTGCAGTCTGTAAAGCCTGCGATCCCAAGACTTATGTATTTAGTGACCACCACCCTGGTGTTCTCGGGCAGCTGATGGAAAACATCCGTTTGAACGGCTTTGTGGTGGAGCCCCAAGCTACTCGGCGTATCCAGCCGGAGCCCCACAGCCAGGAGGCAGAAGCAACGAACTGCCAGAAACCAAACCTGATCGTCGCAGAACTTGACTGGGGCGCAGTGACGGCGGAAGAACTGTTGGACCTGCAGCCCGACGTCGTCGTTGCAGCAGGTGCTTTACGCGTCTGATGCCGCCCCGCTGCGTGCTGTCGCGCAGGGCGAGGCAGGTTAAAGACACGCAGAGGTATTTGTGTGTGGGATTCACTCCACGGACCGTGTCTGGAAGCGTATGGCAGATCTTCTCCCAGCTCAGGTCACTGTTCTGTCTTTCAGTCGTTTAGCAGCTGTTTACGTAAGGCTGAAAAGTGAAAGTGAATTGGTTTTCCCTTCTGTATTTAATTTTTTTAATCCAGAAACAAGTGATGACAAATCTGCCACTTTTAAGAGCCTCATCAATAACTGGCAGTCTTGGCATTCTCTTGAGGGGTAACACATTTTACATTTAAGAATGTGTAAATCTGGAGGGGGTTTATAAAAATCTAATAATAGAAAATCTAGCAAAATTCTTAGCTGTTCCTACAGGATTTTACTCCCCAATTTGGGGTTTTGCAGAGCAAAATTCCTTAAAAATTTAAGTGGGGAAAAAAAAAAGACAAAATATACTGCCTTTGTCATCAAATACGTGAATGTGGTAAATTGAAGTCCCTGTTACCTAGTGCCACTCAGCAGGCACAAACCAGCCCAAGCTGGACTCAGGCAGGCAAGGCACCCCAAAACTGAAGGCGGTTTGTGCCTGCTCTTTGCTGGGACTGGTTGTGGCAGGACATCACCGTTGTGTCGCATCAGGGGTAGCTGGTGCATCAGTCAGTGGTACAGGCACTCGCCTCAACATCTGGGTGCAGTGAACAGCCCCCTGGGACTGTCAGCCCTGAACACAAGGCCGGCTAAGGACAGTCCTAACAGCAAAGCCGTCGAGCGTTTGTGCTCTGTTGCCCTTAAGATGGGCTTAAATACGGTATCTGACAGTCCAGATACAGAGAGCAGCACTGATTTTTAGTGATTTCACACCGATTTAGAGATGACGGCGGCTTGAGATAGCATGTAAAATGAAGGCATTTCCTAAGACCTCTTCCTGTGAATTTCTGACCCCTGCATACAAAGATCATACTCTCCTCCAAGGTATTTTATAGTTTTGCTTTGTAGTTCTCATTCTGCCTTTTGGCTCAATTCTCAGTGATACTGCATGCTTTCTTTTTTGTGCAGACGTGGTCTACGACCCAGAGGCAATTTCAGCCCTCACTGGTGTGCTACAGAAACTGTCCACTTCCGGAGCAGGTGGCAAACCTCCCGAGGCCTACATTGCTCTCACCATTCGCAATCCAGACACGTATCACCTCTTCCAGGCTGAGCTTGGTGGGTGCCTTTTTCATCAAGTTTTGGCCTCTTTCCCCATTCCTTCATCTGTAGCAGAGGTGAACTGGAGCGTTTTTTGGTGATGGGTGTTGTCCAACAGGGAGATTCCTATCCTAGAGCTGGATTTAAGAGTGGCTGGCCTAAGAGCAGTAACTTTTCCACATGGGTTTGATCAGGAGATCAGAACTTGGCCGTTTGCTAGATCCTGGCTATCACAACTCACATCTCCTAGTGCCAACTTTTGCTCTTCATTCTGTTAAGAAGAAAAATTATTCCCAGTGTTTCTCTTTACAGGTAAAGTTGGGATCGGGTGGCAGGTCATTCCAGCCCACAACAGCAGCATTTTTGTCTACGACGTGCAGCCAAGTGTAACTCTTCTACAGCTATTTATATAGACCTGGCAAATCGGACATAATGGGAGTTTTCAGACCAACAGGAGCTGTCTCGTCCCTGTGAGAAGACTATGTTGAATTCCAGAAACGTACATGAGAGGCACCAAGGACACAACCATACGCACAGACTGTTGTCAGAACGAGTTAACATTTCTTCCTGTAACCGTCAGCACGCAAGCAAGTTGCTGCCCCCCCGAAAGTGTCTGTGAACCTCAGGCGGTAGCTAAAACCCCCTAATTGTGAAGCACTTTGATTCTGTAGAAGACAACAGAACTGAACTGGATGTTTTTTCCACCTGTGATTTGATTGGTAAATAACGGGGGCGCAGCTGCAGGATCGCAGGGTGAGTAGCCCACACTGACGAGGGAGCGAAACAATGTCTCATAGTAATAAACACTTCTTAATACTTAAACCAGCTGTAATGGTTTAATTTTTTTATACCTGCCTGTTCATAGCTGCAGTATGGGTCACCTGGAAAATGGGTAACCTACAGCAGCTGTAGTAGACAGTGTCACGAGCCAACATCCCCTATCTCTCCTTACACCAAGTTCAGGTCATCCAGGTTTTGTACAGACATCTCAATTTGATCTATTCTAGGAAGATGAAACCTCTCCGAAGCATTACTGCTTAATTACACAAGTGCCTAATTTACCACATCAGTGGCCAAAGGGGAATGGCTGAACCACCGGACAGGATTTTGCTTGAGAACAACAGAGGAAAACAAAAAAGAAGAAATTTAAAATGTCTGTCTGACTTGACAAAGCAGGTGTTAAACTCAGTATGTGGGTTTAAAGATGCCAGTGCAGAACCCATCCTAATCACAGAATGGTTTGGGTCGGAAGGGACCTAAAAGTCCCCCCAGTTCCACCCCCCTGCCATGGGCAGGGTCACCCTCCACTAGACCAGGTTGCTCCACGCCACATCCAGCCTGGACTTGAACACTTCCAGGGATGGGGCATCCACAGCTTCTCTGGGCAACCTGTCCCAGTGCTCCCCCCCCTCTCCGGGAAGAACTTCCTGATATCTAACCTAAACCTCCCTGCTTTCAATTTAAACCCATTACCTCTTGTCCTGTCACTACAGCCCCTTGTAAAAAGTCCCCCACAGCCTCCTTCCTACAAGGGGCCTCTGACCTCCTCTGAACTAGGAACTCTGAAGAGCAGCAACCACCCAATAAAACCAAGCACATCGATTCCTTAAACAACTGACATCTATTTTATAATCAAAAAGGTGATGAAAAAGGCATCTGGTAAGCATCAGGTCTGTGTACGAATACCGATGTTAACAACAAAGAGATGAAGGGTATAACCTCAGCAAGCGCTCAGGACGTCAAGTGCCCTTTTATCAAGTTACACACATTTCAATAACCAGTTTGGGTTTTATTTTCTCCTTTTCTGTTCAAAAAGGGATAGGTCTTATGTTCTTTCTCGAGGTAAATGGGCACACTCACTGCAGCGTACAAGGACAACTCTCACTGAATGGTCTGTGTTCCTCTCGGGGTTCAATAAAGCTGTCACACACCAGTGCCTCTGCGTTCACATTCTTACACAGGCTGCAAAAAGAAAAACAACTTGGAAACACACTGGTTCTGTCTCAATGAAACCGTCCAGGAGGATATTCAGTGCTCGACTAGGGAAGACCAGCCAACAACTGGTTGAAAAAAATAAAACCCCACCACTTCCTCAGTTCAAATAAAGCAATTTGGATAAAAGGCATTTGTAAGAAAACACACCCAAATCTAAAGTGCTCAATGTACAATGGGTGTAACTGGTAATACTTTGTATACGTATTCAAGTACCTTCACCAAAAAGGGACCTTTAAACAGCACAGGTAGCAGATTTTGCACACATGAGCAACTAAACCTCCCTCCCATTTTCTGAAGATTCATCCCCAGGGATAAAGATGGAAAGGCAGTCCAGATGGCAAGGTTCCAGCTCTTCAGCCAGGAGCCAAGTCCTCCCTTGCGACTTACACCGCAGGCACACAAGGGCCGCACCCTCAGCACTATTCTTACTCACCTGAGCAGCTCAAATTGTAAAGGTGTCTCTGAACACTTGTCCCAACACGAAGCAGTTAAAACCAGCAACTACAGACAACAGGAAGTGTTTATTCACAATTTATAAAGTCTACATGGCTCCAGCTTTTTTGGCACCCTCCTCCTTCAGTGTCATTCATTCTGCCCAAGCAAAGGAAGAACAGTCTGGTCCCAATTCTCATCCCAGCGCAGCTTGTTAGACTCACGAAGGTTTTCTCTGAAGGTCTGAAGTTTGCTTCCCAGGGTAGGAAATCCCAAGAAAAGCATCTGTAAGTTAAAAAAGGAAAACCACAGAAAAACACCACGACGTTACATTATTGGCTCAGTCTAGCCTCCCCAGTGTTAACCCTCAACTACGGTGGCTGCAGCGAGAGCGTTCTTTGGTCTGGCCCTATAAACAGCGTACAGCGACAGCATTTAAAACGTTCTTGCCAGCTTCAGATTCATACTCGCACAGAAGTGAGGCCAGTAACGTTCACCAGGCAAGGCAGTACCTTCTGAGGGTGCAAAATACACAGACGACACTCGCGTATGGCAAGGCAGCTCACGTGGTAGCACCTCTGCGGTTATAGCTACTGGGAGAAAAAAAAAAATCAGCGAAGCCTTTACCTTTAGTTGTTCTGTGAGTTCTTCCGCGTCGCTGAATATCAGCCCGTTCTCATCGTGCTTCATGAGTTCATGTAAACTGAGAACAGAAGTCACGGAAGAAAAGGTGAGACAAAAAGCAGCGAGAGGGACATCTACATTTTAAAAGCTGCTCAAGAGACAGGGCTAGGGTATCTCTAGCAGGATGATTCTGGATGGCTAGACAGTAGGTTCATACCTGACAAAATGGAACGAAGAAGGCCGTTTTAAAAGTTTAAATTTAAAGATTGCTTCCCCCTTCTACGTCAGACTATCTAAATCTACCAGTACAGCCTGTCTTTATCACCTAGACATATATTAAAAATCATTTTAAATCTACTTTAAAATTAACCCACAAGGAAAATCTGTCCATGATCCACTTCCTAAGATCTTCACAGAGAATCACAGAGTGGTGCGGGTTGGAAGGGACCTTAAAGATCATCCAGTTCCAACCCCCCTGCCATGGGCAGGGACACCTTCCACTAGACCAGGTTGCTCAAAGCCTCATCCAGTCTGGCCTTGGACACTTCCAGGGATGGGGCATCCACAGCTGCTCTGGGCAACCTGTCCCAGTGCCTCCCCACCCTCTCTGGGAAGAATTTCTTCCTGATATCTAATCTAAACCTGCCTAATTTCAATTTAAACCCATTACTACCGGTTCCCCAAAGGGCCATAAATTCTGACTGTGCATATACTCGCCCCTTCACAGAACAGAGACACGTCTATGCAGAAGGAAGCCGATTTAAATGAAGTCTATGGAAACAAAGGATTACTGGGAAATTATTTTTTAAGGCAAGTGGTTGAATTAAATGCTCCCAACTCTGTAGAAACTCAGTGTTATTTTTTTAACTCAAAACCACCTTGATTAGTAACTGAATTAAAAAAAGTTATGGCATAATACTGGAATCTCATCGGATATACACAGTAGCTGCTGAACTCTTGCTTTGTCAGAATACTGTTTTACACGGCCCACTTCAACAAGCTCTTACCATTTAAAATGTATTGCACACACAGGTAAACAACAGCCAAACATGTCTACCACCTTCATGGGTAAATCCAAGCCACTAGATGATTTATGGAGACACACCCCTAGGTCTGCTGAGCCTGAAAAGCAAACAAACCAGATGAAGAGGCTGAATTCTTCTACAGCAGTTCTAGTCTTCCTGTAAACCTGTTTCTGTACTACCTTGGGTGTTGCAAGCTAAGCATGAGCTACCTTCAACATCATCCAGACTGACTCAATTCCAAGCACTCGTGGGGGTAAAAAAGGGCAGTGTATTTTGTGACTAAAATTAGTCAGGCTTTAGAAACGCACCAGGCGAGTGCACATGAAGCTCGAGGGAATTTTAAAATTTCACCTATCCTAAAACAGCCTTTCTGCCTCTTAATCTGCTAGGAATGGGTAAATGCACAGGAAAACCAGGATATACTGCATGGGTCACGAGCAACCTCTTCCACTTCAAGTGATTTCAAACCAGCGGAATTACAGCGCGATTTTATGGACGTTATATTCATTAGTTATAGACATTATATTCATTAGTTAAAAAGTACCAAATAAACACAGTGTTTTACAGCCATATAAGTTGTCAGGCCAATGTAGATCAAATTGAGTATGTATTTTACTACTTTATTCAGCTTACGCACACTTCACTTTAATAAAACGAACATGCGGAGGGAGTTCTATGCCAAGGACATGTTAATTTAGAATTTCAGCTAGTTTTGGTTGCTCAGCCAAAAACTTTTATGATTCCATTTACATCTGCCTGAAAGTAAACCAGAATACGCACAGGCATGCTGTATTCCAGCAAAGTTAGAAGAAAGAGGGGACAAAGAACAGGCTAAAATAGCTACCCAGGTGCTATGCCTACTTCTTGGGATAACAGGGAAAACTGCAATTAGGGAAATTTAGCAATTTTTCTGGCACGAGTCAAACCCCCAAATACCCTGTGACTAACCAGCAACTTTATTTGCTTACTATATTCTACCAGCTTCAGTGCAAAATCTGTACCAGCACTTTGCAACTGTGCTCAGGTGTTTTTCACACATTCTCCACCCTATTTCATAATCCACTGTTTACCAAGCAGAAGAGGGTAATCCTCAGCTTCAAGCCACGGTGTACAGAACTGGATATGTTTAAAGTCCAGTTTATTTATCAGTCTGTTGTAGTGGTCTTTTAGAGGTCCTTTACCTGTTTAAAACAGGAAGAAAATTTATTAGTTTTTTTTTTTAAATCAAGATGATGGAAAATAGCATTGTCTGTGAGTCTTACTGCACAGCTGACAAACCCCTGTTGTATCAGGTACGTCAAAAAGGATACCCCACACAATCCCCAGAGAGACACGCGTAAGACTAAGCCCCGTCAAAAGCCACGTTAACCAAGACTTCTCTTTTATTCAACATTTAGAAGAGCCTGCCATCAATATCCCACTCTGTTTTGCCTACAGCCATAAGATCACCAAATAACCAATGACAGATTTCAGCAGCACAACTGGCCCTTCAAAATCACACTAAGCTTTAGTTTGCTCCTAACAAGAACGGTAACCGAACAGCACTCATTCTGTCTACACAACTTTTTGGCAAAACCTTGCCTGATGGTCCTCTTTTCCAGCACTAAATAAAAATATTTCCACCTAACACTCCAACCACTGGATTTTACATTGCTTTTGCAGCAGCATCTCAATACTGAGCTTAAATTCTTTTGAACGTGCAGTAATGCGCAGCTGCGCTAGACAGGCAGGCTGAGCACCTCTCCTCTTTAACGATGCGCCACGATTACATGGCTGTAACCTGTAAACCGCTGTAAAGCACTGCTCTTGTAACCAGATGTAAAGACAACAGCCCCTCCTTCCTTTTCACCGTCCACAGAACAGTCAGCATAGAACACAAGTGACAACAAAGTCTTCTGTACCGGCACGGAAAGAATTGCAGTGTAAATAAGCTGTTACCTGTTATCACACATACTAAAGGCGGAAGCCTGACTCCTTGGTTGACATACCACTCATAACCTGGAGAAGATAAACAACTGTTTAGAGTCAACAGGTATACGGGTGCCGCGCTTAAGAATGCTCACGGTGCTACTAATTGCTTAGTTTCCTACTTCAAGGAACTTCTTTACAAGCACACACCTAGTAAAATAGTAGTATTTACAATCCACAAGTTAGTCAGAAATACAATTCTCCTTGACAACTACTCTTAACTGAATCCAGATGTTGCATTTCTGTATTTCACCTTCTTCTCTTAAACCACTAATTGAAATACACCTGGGGGTGCACGAGAATAACGAAGCACTGTTCAGCGAACCCCTTCACTGCTGCCCAGAACACAGCCACCCCCCGTCGAACAGGTGAGATGAACTCCTTTGTACCCACCTTCTAAAGCTTTCAGAAGGACTGAAAAATCTTCATCCTCTGAAAGAGAAGGCTTTATTAGTGACATTCATGCTTCTATCATTTATAATGAATTCCTGTCTTTAAATAACAACAATGAAGATTTCCCTCACCTTCACCTACATGATTTAAGTACGGAGCACACTTTTCCTATTAGAAATATGCTCTATTTTCATAAAGAGAAGTCGATAACCCGTGCTTGTTTGTTCCCCTTACTGGCAACATGGCAGACAAGCAAGCCACTAATATTGCACATCCTCCAAGCTATCAAGTTAAAACTCCCTAGTCTCTAAAGCTAGAGAATTAAGTGTAGAAGTTAACTGAAAGATACAGACAACTCTGCCCGCGGTCACTCTGGATTTGTTTTTGCTCTCTTGTTCCCTTTTTCATACAAAAAAGAGAAAATTATGTAATGCAGATTAGCAGAAATAAAGGAGTAAATATTTTAGTTTCTTGCTCTATTTGACACCACCATGCAGGACAGTATGCTTAGAATGAAAGTGAAAAAAGTAGTAGGAAGTCTCTTTTAACCACTCTTGAAGCTGAGCATCTTGACTGTAGCTCTTTAACTAAAATACAACTTAAAAGATCACTCATTTTTAGCCACTGAAGTATCTTGTCTTCAAATTCCTCTAGTCAAATGAGGGAAAACCGTAACTTCACCACCGTTGATGTGAAGATGCCCCCGCAGCGTATCAAGCATGAGGACGTATCGGCAGCCCTTATTTTATCTTTTGTTCAACATCGATTAAGTATTAAAAATAAAGCTATTTCTTTCCAAACCTGTCCAGCTTGTGCTGCTGATGAGAAGAGCTGGCCGTCCTTTGGGTTTTATCACGCGCCCATGTACTTCATCCCTTTCCGTAAAGGCAGACCTCTCAGCATTTGAACTGACGGACTCTGTGCTACGGAAACAGAATCTTCTGAGCATGGACTACACAAACACAGCCAACTACCACAGAAGGAAATACTGTGATTAACTGGCATGAATTTCCAAACACTTTGTTCCAGATTTGCTACTCAACTTGCCTAGAAACAGTCTCTACAACACTGAGATGCAGAGATACACCTGATCACGAGAGACACCATTAGTCACCTTTCCTATTGCTACCAAGAGCCTAGTGACACTTCTGCGATAGGCACGATTCCACCTTCTAACAGTGTTTTCTTTAAGATGTTGAGAAAACATTCAGCTTCTCTTTCCAGCTGCCTCAAACACACAGTAGAACACGGAGGCCAACAGTACCTTTATTCAATTTAACTTGGAACCTACACACTCTGTGGCAGGCATTTCCAAAAAGAAGCTGCTATAAGCGAATGGCTTTCACTTCTTTTTGAAGCATTAGTTTGGTAAAGTTACCCCCTGTTAAACCTGCCACAGGAGACATAGCCAGAGAAGAAGGTTTAACACCCACACCACGATTCTGAAAGCTCTCCGTGATGAGTGGAAAGAAGGGATGCTATTAACGAAGCATCCAATCACTGTCATCTACTTCAAGGGGAACTAGACATTGGCTGAGTTCCAACCCGGAGACATTCTGTATCAGGCTGCCTCAGTACTTATGCCAACTTCTTTAAAAATAAAACACTTCCATTAATCCACTCTCCGAGCTACCACAGTTCAACGATTTCACTCACCCTGGCCTCTCGCAGTGACAATTACACTAACTTGCGCAGCATCAGCTGCTGGCTAAGGGCACAAAGAGACCGCTCTGCCTGCTGATGCTCAGTAACCTGTGACGCCACGCAAAAGTATTTCCGGTAAGCAAGCGCATGAACTTTATCATTCAGTTAAGGACTGTAACTGCATGCTTTTCTTACACATACCGTGGTTTAAAAGGCTGATAGTCTTTGGCAAGTTTCATGTACAAATGATGCTGAAGTTCTAAAGGTGTTTCCTTAAAGTAAGAAGCTGGCTTGTCATACAGCGTTACTGCCCTGCAGTGAAATAAATCCACAAGTTAATAAAACCAGATGTAACCAAATGCATATGGTAGAGTGACAGGCCACAACAATCTAACGCAGAAAGCAATTAAGTAAATCAATACTGGAAAACAGTCAATTTTTTGACTCCTACAACATCCTGTTTTCCTGAAGTTTGCTGGAATACACCAAGGTGGACATACTAATCCTGTAACAAAGGAGACCTTTCTTGTGTGCACACTCGTGTAACACAGCCGTAAGAACCGCAGACATCACTGTCCTCATTTTTCAGCGTACTTCATAAACTTCCCTGAGCAACTTTGATCTTAAAGCCCTCTGACCGCAAATGAAAAATGTGCAGGGCAGACTGTTAAAAACCGCAGCCATGTCTGCCTCGTTCCCATTCTATAGGCAGCTTGGTAGCAAACTTCCGTAACACCCGGACTGTACTGTCCAATCAGTGGTTAATTATGAAGGGTAATGAAGATTCCTGAATGCCCACACTCCACCAGCTCATTACAAAACCGAACTAATGTGTTCCAGTGGTAATAAAAGGGCTCAGGAAAGTTGCTTTTCTCAGATTCCTCTGAATCCAGAATCATCAGGGATACGTTCTTTCGTATCACATCACATATGCATACACTAATTTGACAGAGGTATGTGACTTACTTTATGTTGCAGTTCACCCACAGATCTTCTTTCATCGCATCAGTGACACACAAGTTATAGTCAGACAAACGTCCAAAAAGCTTTTCATACCTGACAAAAATGAAATCTGAGTTACAAACCACAGGCAAGCAGTAGCAATAGCCAAATAGCTACTGCCCACCACTGCCAATGCTAATTAAAAGCCAACCAAAACCCAAAGAAACCCAACTGCCCCCAGTTGATAACTACTGAAATGTAGTTATCAAGCGTTGCTTGACTCCTTCTACTGAAGCAATATCGGTTTGTGAGAAGGGATACAGCATGACTCCTTTATCTTCTAAGGCCTAAGAACACGGCACTTGAACGCCTTCAAAGCCTTTATCTACATGTAATCAACTAGATTCAGCAGCGTTAGAGAATTAAAAAAAAAGTACACAAAGAAATCCTAATAACAAGATCAAATTTTGCGTAAGTCTACTTCATCAGCCGCCTTCCTACGTGTTTAACAAACCCGTTCTACTGAACGTGCTTTCCGAAATAGAAAGCAGTTGAACACCACAAAATCCAGAAATCTTTCACGGAAACAGCCCTTAGCCCATTATATTTCCCCTCCCTCCCGGTTTACGTTCTGCATTCTGTAAAGGTACGTAATTTATAAAGAGGAGACGAAATTACACACCATTTTGCAATATGCACTAGCGGGTGGTATCTGCCGTGAGTCAGACTCATGATAGTATATCCATAGTTGTGCCAATCAATTATCAGTTTGCTTCTCCAGAAGAGACATGCTAGCCAGGCAACAGCTATACTAGGTAAGCCTGGAGGATTCTGTGCAATAAATACAGGTAGAAATAGCTTAAGACTGTGGTCAAGTGGTTAAGAAATTACCAGAAAAATAAAATCAAATTATTGAAATTATGTCGCCTTAAAAAATCTTAATGAACAGAGACAATTTTGTGTTCACCAACCACAGAGCTGCCAGCTCCACCTGTGAAGACTGGGAGGCACTTCAGATCAAAATTCCCCTCGGATAAACACACAAACATCTATGATCAGATTTATTCTTTACTACTATCCATGCAAACTAAGTTTGAAAGCTCAAAAATTAACAGGAAGAAGAAACCCGAGTTGTTAACAGAAACATCAAAGTTTAGAATGAAAATAAGTTTTACACCATCGTTCAGGCCAGTTTTAGCTATCAGATAATTAAACAATGGCTAAAAATGGCCTGCAATGTAGCACTATTTATTTTTATGAAAATCAGTCGCAACACAAAACATACCTGAAGAAGAATATAGGACGGCTGATCTATGCTCAGCATTGTGTACAGCAACTGCACCGACTGCATGATGACTTTGACGACATACCGGAAGAGCTTCGGACCAACTGCAAAACAAGCGCCAAGCTGCTAAGGACAGCTCTGCAGAAACACGCACCCGATACAGAACCAGCCGTCTCCGCAGCGAACGGCTTAAAACAACGCTACGCCGTGCGAGGGCAGACGTGCCTTTAGACGAACGGAACCCACCTCGCAGCCCCCGCAGCTCCGCCACGGGCA